GTTTCACAATTTGAGTTGAATTACTGAAATAAATGAACTTTTCCACAACATTCTAATTTATTGAGATGCACCTGTACATTACCATTGTCATGTACATTACCATGCCAATCCCTCCGAGAGTTGTCATGACAGAAATATACATATATGAGGAAAAAAGAGTACCATAGCAATGAGTCAAGTGTCTAGAGTTTGCAGTGTGCATCTATTGATACGAATAGCAATAGTGCACTTTAAAGACAGAGAGTAAAAATTAAACGCTCAGTCAGAGTGTTCAAGTGATCTGCAAAACTTCTAAATCTAACAATTTATTAGCAAATGGTTAATGATAGTGATTTACTTGTTTATGTGATTAACTTGCATTTTAGAGGTTGGGCTTTTTTTAACTAAACAAAACAGTAACACCACAGTGGAGTAAGCAATCAACAATACTGTGACCTGGCAACCTCCATCGATTAAAGCACTGTTCATGTGAATGCACGTCATTGGTTTTAAAAAAGGAAAATAACAAACCTATGCTGGGAAACGGTCGCTTCATTGTACCACACATTTCCACCTTCCTTGTGGAGTGTGAAATGCCCTTTACAGTGCACTTTGGAATATACTTCTCAAATCCAGGCATACCTTGGTGCAGACACCTGTTGTGGCCACACAGAGGGTCAGGATGGAGATATTCTGGGCTCGGTTCAACCAGTTTACAGCCAGTTTCGTGCTTGTGGCCCACTTCACCATCGTCACATAGTACTCACTGTAATACAGATAAGAAATTAGCAGAAATGTCTTCTGGCAGAATCACTATATCCAATCACTAGGTTTGAAATTAATCTTTAAAATGTCTTCGAAGACTTTAAATGCCCATCCGATAAATTAGGTATATATTTATAAAATTTTCTGGTTCTTAAAAGGAACTCTTAAAACCTGGCTCTTAAAGGAAATGGGAGATGAGACTCTGATTGGTGTATTGCACGTTATGCCCAAAACACACCCATTACTCATTAAGAGAATAAGGACAACCCTTTTAGACCATGTGCCGGGCGCGTCGACCGTTTTTCCCGTCATTAAACTAGCAAAAGTGGATTTGGACACGCCCTAAGTGCACCTGCACCGTGCGCTTTAGACCTTGCACTTAGATCATTAAAATAGGACCCCATGAGCGCACAAATGGGCGCAAATGCATTTGCTGTTTAAACAACGTGGCGCAGGACGTGAAAATGATAACTGCGTCGGGTTGAAACTAGCAAAAAACAGTTGCGTCGCGCATGGCGCTGCATTGCGCCGGTTGTATGATAGGGCCCTAAGACTAATTTAAAAGATAAAAATAAAAAATGGCTGACAAAAAATAAATAAATAAATAAATAAATAAAATAACACTAGTACAGTCAGCCCACCCTATTCTTTGGTCCTCCGGTCTTCTCATCTCAACGGTGTGCAGAGGGCCATTGAGATTCACCACATAAAGAGAGATGATAGGGTTTTCCTCTCCTGCCTGGAAGAAAAACGTTCAAGCATAACTTATTATCATCTTCAGCACTATATCCTCATGTTTATGGCCGTGCATAATCTTTACCTTGGGGTAATGGTATTGTCTTGCTGTAGGGTAGATGGAGCCGGTGAACATGGGGATCTCCATTTTGGGTACCAGCGTGTCGTTGATGGTCGCATACGCGAGCCTGGCCCCATCCAGAGACCACCAGTGTGCGATGTGGGACTTAAAGATCTCCGCTGTGCAAGAAAGATTCAGGAGTTTCTCTCAGTCATATTTCACAGCGGTTCAATCACTCGAATAATTGCAGGAATAGTAAAAAGTAATCATCCATAACACAGGGTCTCTCAGGTCTCATTCCAGCTACATCCACACACACACACACACACTCAGATTCCCCATCTTCATTCGGATACAGCCGATGCACCTGGCCGCAGTTAAGAGCATTTCTCCGTAACCACCTGTTTCTGTATGAATCTCTGCTTCCCTCACACAGAGGCAGCGTGGAAGGTTCTGGCCCATAAATCACGGGGCGGACTGTAATCTCAGCGGGCCGGCGAGAGTGAGTGCCGGCCCTCTCCATCAAGTGTCCCTTCTCTTCTACAATCTCAGGGAAAAAAGCAATTTCTGGATGCCACCAAAGGCTGCGGAAATAGGGTCTGACCCCTCTTCCTGTGCTCAAATGGGCAGGAAGTCGCATGTTCAGCAGAGTTCTGCTCACTTCATCACAGAGAGAGTGAGTGAACGAATGTGCTCAGAGAGCTTATGTTGACATCTGAAGATTTTGACAGTTATTAATAGTTGTTAGACAATGTTTATATATTTCCATTTTTGTTTTCATTTTTGTTTTTGAGTTAATATGAATATGTTATGGTAATATACTGTATATGGTTTGTGGTCAGTAAGTTTTTTTTTTTTTGATCGAAATTTATACTTTTATCTAGCAAGGTTGCATTCAATTCATAAAGACATTATGATGTTAGACTTCTATTTCAAATAAATGCTGTTCTTTTGAACTTTCTATTCATCAAAGAATCCAGAAAAAGAATAAACAAAGTAACAAAAATAGTTCAACATTGTAATAATAATAATAATAATAATAATAATAATAATATTTTCTGGAGCAGAAAATCAGCATATTAGAATGATTCCTGAAGGATCATGTGACACTGAATACTGGGTTATGATGCTGAAATCTCAGCTTTGCATCATAGGAATAAATTACATTTTTAAATATATTGAAATAGAAAACAGTTATTTAAAATTTTAGTAATAATAATGTCAAAACAGAAAACACTTATTTTAAAACTATATTTCACAATATTACTGTTTTTTAATCAAATAAATGCAGCCTTTGTGAGCATAAAACTTCCTTCAAAATATTATAAAATCTTACAGAGCCTAGTAGTGTTTATTAGCCTCCGCTTCACGCCGGGCGGTTCTTTGCCTCCATGTCGTGCATTTAAAATCCTTTAATGCACGGCTAGTCGTTGATTATCCCACTTATTCCATGGTCATTTGCCAAGTTATAGACAAGTTAAAACTAGTATTGCTCTTTGCAGCGCAATATTTGACCGAATGGGTAAAAATGAGTTATTTTCATCAGTTATGGCACATTAGCTCAAGCATTCTGCCCGCTTTAAATCAGACACAGAGATGAAATAGTGCGGTAAGACCACATTTATTTGAATGAATTATAGCATTTATTTCAATTAATTATCGATCGAGAGAGAGAGAGATGACAGTTGTGTGTGTTACCTGCGTCTGCACATCTCTCTACAAACAATTAATTACTTCAAAAACAGAGATTTTACCACCTCGTTGTTGAGGAGATTAAACTGACTTGGAACTACCTGTGCATTAAACGGTTTTACTGCATACCTGCCAGCCAATTAGAATCCAGTATTCAGACAGACCATGGAATAATGATATATAATGCAATAACACTCATTTCATCATGAATTTCACAAATTCAAACCATTTCGAATTTGTGGTTGTGAATAACACTGTTTTCTACATGTTTGCCAATTTGAATGAAAATGAAGAATGAAAAAGTTTACCTGAAATGAGTGTGTGTTTTGATATAAATATGATTTTGAATTTGAAGTAAATCTCATTTTCACAAATTCATGTACAATTACACCATTTACAAATGTAAAAGGCATTTTCTATTAGTGTTAACATGCGTCACTTTTTCTAATTGACATTAATTTATATAGACTATGTATTAAAGTTGTGTATTTTCAAACTACTTTTATTTATAGCAGACATTTGGGAAATATTACATTTGTTTTAATATTGCATACTGTAAATTCAAGCCACAAAACTCTTCCTTGCTCAATTCATTCTAAAAAATGTTGACTTTTCAGATAACACTTTAGTATAGGGACCAATTCTCACTATTAAGTTGCTTATTAGCATGCCTATTATTAACATATCGGCGGTTTATTAATACTTTAGCACATATTCTGCATGACCCAGATAACACTTTAGCATAGGGACCAATTCTCACTATTAAGTTGCTTATTAGCATGCCTATTATTAACATATCGGCGGTTTATTAATACTTTAGCACATATTCTGCATGACCATAATCTACATCACTAATTCGTCCCAATATCTAAACTTAACAACTACCTTACTAACTATTAATTAGGAGTTTATTGAGATAAAAGTCATAGTCAATGGTTTGTTAATAGCAAGATTTGGACCTTAAAATAAAGTGTGACCACTTTTCAGTCAGGCTTCTTAGAAGTAACAAGACATAACAACACATCCGGATCCTTGTTTGCTCAACATCTTGCCTAAAGAGATGCCTGCATTTGGTTAACATCTAGATGTATACTTCACTGCCAATGTTATCCCACAATCCTGTTATGGGTCCATATAGCTTTGAAAACATTTTGATTCACATGTTTGAGTGAGCTAGCCATTTAATGTCACTGAGGGCAATAACTGCATCAGAATGCGGCACAGATGTATCCTTCACTGCTAATGATATCTCACAATCCTGTGCATTTCGAGTCACGGGTCCATATGCAATAGCTTGGAAAACATTTTGATTCACATTTTTTGGTTGAACTAGCTCCTTAATGCCATTGAGGACAATAACTGCATCAGCAGCTGAGAGTTTCAATAACGTATTTTAATGCCTAGAGAGCATGATGTGGATATTTTAGAGAAAATGCTTGTGACTATCATGGGAGCTTTTCAATGAATCTGGTCATTACAGAGATGCTGACTCGTGGATGAACCAAACCAAGCCTGCCGCAGACATCTCTGTGGAAAACAGCAAAAATGGCTCTCATTAGGCGTAAGATGTCAGAAACCCTGCAAACACGTCTCTCTCATTGCTGTTTTCTGTGTCTTTCTGTGTCCTTTCTTCTGCCAAACACACACTCACACTCTCAGTAGTGAGCCAGGAAGCTTGTTGGGCTGTTGATTGCTCACACAGGGAGGCTTAATGGCAGAGCTGAATGATGGATGAAACAGGAGTGTGTGTTTTGAGAGCTGGAGGACAGTAAAGCCGTGTCTAGCACACACACAGTCCTCTCACACTTGTCCTTCTTTAATCAGAGGACACAGCTGTGGAATAGGGGGAAAATGAGCTGATAGTTTAGGCTATAAAACTTTACTGTTTAAACCCAGCATTTCCATTATCCATTTTTCCTCCCATTATCCAAAACAACAACAACAACAACATCTACTAAACCTGGTAAACGTTTTAGTATTGCAGTGAATGTGAATGCAGTGACACATTTTGACTTTATTTCTTGCAATTTTTTTCTCAGAATTGCAAGTTTATAACATAGAATTTGCACTTTATTTTAAGGTGCAATTCTTGCTATTAACAAACCATTAACTATGACTTTGCCTCAATAAACTCCTACAGTAATTTGCTGCTTATTAATAGTTAGTAAGGAAGTTGTTAAATTGAGGTATTTTTAGGATTAAGGATGTAGAATATGGTCATTCAGAATATGTGCTTTATAAGCACTAATAAACAGCCAATATGTTAATAAGAGGCATGCTAATAAGCAACTAGTTAATAGTGAGAATTGGTCCCTATACTAAAGTGTTACCTAGAATTCTGATGGTATTTCTCACAATTACAAATATTGCAATTTTGAGTTAACATCTCACAATTCTGATTATTTTTCTAAAAAATACAAGTTTACTGTCACAGTGTCTGGTTGTTGTGCCCTGGACTGGCCACTTGATGGCACTCTCCCCTTTCTCGCCCTCCGCTTCTCGGTGGGGATGATAATCAGTAACGAAAAGAACCGGGCAAAGAACTATGGGAAATGGAGTTCATGACAAGTAACAGTGAAAGGGGAGAGCGCCATCAAGTGGCCAGTCCAGGGCACAACAACCAGACACTGTGACATTTACATCTCGCAATTTGGACTTTCTCAGAATTGTGAGTTTATAATAGTTTGGACTTTATTAATCACAATTACGAGTTTCTATGCACTTCTGAGTTCTAAAGTCTTCTGTGTTCTTGCACTTCTGAGAACATCTCAAATTTCAGACAATTTTTTTAATTGTAAGTTTACGAACTTTCTTAGAACTGCGAGTTTATAAAACAGTTCTGACAATTTTTTCCTGGTGCCATTTTGGAGAGTATCTGCTGAACGTAAACAATGTATGCTGTTCTGTGTCAGCAGCACCATGTACGTTGTTTACATTCAGATCAAAGCACGTGTATACATTGTGAAACTCTCCAAAATGGCGCCAGGGTGACGCGGAGGAGACGAATTGTTGAATAAAGTCGTTATTTTTGTTTTCTTTGCACACAAAAAGTATTCTCGTAGCTTCGTAAAATTACGGTTGAACCACTGATGTCACATGGATTATTTTAACGATGTCCTTACTACGTTTCTAGACCTTGATCGTGGTAAGCTCCTTGCTGTCTATGGGAGGGTCAGAAAGCTCTCAGATTTCATCAAAAAATCTTAATTTGTGTTCTGAAGATGAACGAAGGTCCTACAGGTTTGGAACGACATGAGGGTGAGTAATTAAAGGTGCAGTAGGAGATCTTGGAAATGGGCTAAATCATGTGTCATTCACCGGTGAGAAATCTTTAAAAGTACTACAATACCAGGAAGGAAGATCGGGTTGTTGATGTTTGTCTGCCATTCTCGCTCTGTCTGCACAGCGTGCATGAACTCGCTGATGACGTATCCTGTCTGCGCGAACAGGGTGCGCAGAGGTATGCTAATACATACGTTGACAGGCA